ATCAATCATTTCTTTCAAGCGCATCACTGTGTGAAGAACGTGTGTTATGTGTACTTTAACAGGGGTGGCACTGGTTTATTAATGCTTTCATGGGTCAGTGTGCTTATGTGTACATTGACAAAAGTGCTATGGCTGACCTCTCACTTCCTGCTACAAACGTGTCCTGACCTCCTGTTTCTGATGCCAGCAAATAGTGTCACCTTGGTTTAAAGTGCCGTCCTTTTGCTGATGTGGAATAAGAACCTGGGAGGGGATGGGGAAGGCAGGTTATAACTAAGCCAAGCCATTGGGCCACATCACGTTAACCTGTCAGCCCGTTGTCCTGCCAGACCGGCCATACCTCATTAAACCTAATGGGAACTGTCACTGTCACTCCCCCCTGGCCACCTGACCGGTAAAAAGAGGCAGGCAGAGCTTGAAAGAATAAGACAATATGAGGTGAGAGCAAGGAGAAGAGGGAGAGAAAAGCAGAGGAAGAAAGTTGGAAAAATAGATTACAAGGAAGTCCAATAACAAGTTTATGTTGAGAATATAGAATGAGGCAGACACACAGTGTGAGAGGGATGATGATGGCATAGCACAGGACGAAAAAAGAGAGAAGAAAAACAAATTTATAGGCGAGTGATATACACTAATGGAATATAGAGTGGAGATGGATGAGAATGTGTGTGTCTTATGCCTTAACAGGAATAGTAAGACATACCAATAAGAAAATACAGCACAGACAGGCCAGTGGGATATTTACAGTATTTTAGAAATGTACATTTTTGTTATTACAACAGCATTTCCAGTTGGTGTGTAAAAAAAATCCTTTGCAAATGATTTAAACATTAATTCAAGTACAGAAGACAACAAGTAGCACAAAGACACTTTTTAAAAAGTTCAAATAGGGGCATGTTTACCACTGTGTTGCATGCTTTTTTTTAAAATGCTGTAAGCATTTGGGTCCATTTTTGTTTCATATGTGATAAAAGTTCAAGAGAGCTCATATTTCTCATTCTACTTGTTATAAATGGGTGACAGGTATAGACAGCAGGCAAGTTTAATATCCAAACACTTTTAATTAAGGTTGGTGTAATAACAGCAGAATGTGATTTGCCATCGACCTGCTTAAATTAGCAAGGTCTTTACTGAAAAAAGATCCTCTGAATGACAGGAAATGTTGCTCCAAATGTGCAGGTTACTCATGGCATGTGCACTGATCCATGCTGGTACCATAAGGGATGCTTGACTTTGAAGTGTGTGTTGATAACAGGTAAGCGGTCCCTCTCGTCTTTAGCCCTGAATGGAAAAAAAGAATTTCAGGAAATGAAAATCTTTGATCCAAAAAATTGGCCATTAGCAAACTAGGCAAGGAGGAGCTTCAGCTCTCTGCTAAAACTTTTTTCTTTAAGACTCAACCTCTTTTATAGGCCAAACAATACTGATTAAGACAATTATTTGTGAGGTCTGGCAAGTATTGCAAATACTTCAAAAAGGAATAAATACTTGTCACTCTGAACATTTCTGGTGTTTGTATTTTACTGCCATCTTGGGTCTGGGCAAATAAAAACCAGATTTCTGTAGTTACTACCATTAAAGGATTATTTCTCCTTCATTCTTTTCCAGCATGTTCAGATTTACCTGTGGGGGATTGGTTGGCTTCTTTTTTTTAGATAAATAAAAATAAAGGGCTGTATAAGCTCCACTTAAATAGGAGCAAGAGTGTAGAACAAATGCTTTACAAATATCCAGCTGTGAGTTTAAAAACATTGATTTTTTTAGGAAACATATTTTCTGAGATGCCAAAATTGCAGAGTGTTTTCTGTGAGCCAAATAAATAGCAGGTACACAGAAAAATATCAGTTGCTCTTTTAAAGAAAATGAGAACGTAAGCCGGGTGGCAGTTTCTCTCTGCAAGCTGTTTTTAAGGGATTTTTGAAAATAATGGGAGGCTATTACTTTTGGAAAGTCAGGAGAACTTGCAGCAAAGCACACAGCAGATGATTTGACAGCAGTAAATACTTTACATCAGAGAGTTTCTACTTCATGGACACTAATGGTGACACAGAGTCCACAGAGAGCTCTCAGTGCTTTTTGCCTCAAACACAGTCTGACATGGGTTTATGATATCCCTGCTCTTCAGCCTTGCCAGCAGTTGATCAGTGTTTTCCTCTTTTCATTCTTCATTAGGTACGAGAGGGTCACAGATGATAAGGATGGTGTCGATCCAGTAGAGGGGAGGACAGAGACTGCTTGTGTTGCCCAGTACCAAAGCACCACTCTGCGCATCCTCACCCACTTTGTGGCTGACATCAGTGAAAGTAGAGGAGCCATGGAGGAAGATGTACTGGGCCAGCAGACCTTCCTGCTGGGCACTGACTGGCAGGTGGATGTGACACAGTTGGTGAAGGAGTCTCTGAGGGTGGAGGACCCAAAGGTTGCCCAGCTTCTGGACGACCAAGTCGTAATCGGGCTGAGCACTGGAAACACCAAACTACAGGTTGCCTTTATGTATATTTTATCACAGTTTCTAAAGCAGAAGTTGTACTGCATGTCTCTGCAGCGTGGCTGTCAGGATTGTTTTGCCATGACTGATCAGTGGGGATTTACACGTTCATCTCATAGACCTAAATTGTAGCTGTCACGGAAGCTGCAGTAACTAATGCCTGAATCAGCCACCGCAATACAGTCTTTGTTGTTACTAAGGAAACATGCAGCTTTACTCGATTAAATGACCTGACTGGCTTGGTTGTTTTGGCAGCCAAACAAAAGGTCACAAGTGAGCACAATATCAGACGTATTTGAACTGATAAACTGACATAGACGCAGCAGTAAAGTAACCTGGCAAGTGGATTAGGAAAATTACAATGAGAAGTCTAAAAGCAATAAAGCAAATCCAGTCATCTAGACTCTTTTAATGCAAAGTATTTTGATTAGGTTGACGTTGAAGTATTAGAAATGTATGGATTTAGCAAAGCACAAGCACGATGGACCAAAACAACTGAATAGAAAAAGTCGGACCACTCTTGACTCTGGTCTTATCCATCTTATTGTCACAGTCAATATTACCCAACAGGGTTTCAAGTTTTTTCAAGCTGAAAAGCTGCAAACTGTGCTCAGCCGCTTTGCTTTGTCAATGCGGAGCAGAATGTGGCTTTCTAGTTTGTTTATAAATGCAGGGACAAGACACACATAGAAAGCATAACTTTAATTCTCCACTAAAGATACCATTAGTCTACTACATTTTTAAAAGGTTAATGGTCATCTGCTCCAATATTAATGTTCAAAATGTTGTTTGAATTTGTAAGCCACAGATAAATAATCATCAAATTATCACATTTAAGAGGCCAAGTTATCCAATTCGGGGTCATGATAGACATAAAGATAGATATCAATCAGATAGATGGATAGAAAGTAAGACAGACAGACAGACATAAAAGGTTAACAATAAGCTGATGAACATATGGTGAAGCAGTTATGGACTGAAAGAGTCTGTGCAGAGTATGGTAGAATGGTTTCTTTAGTCTAAACGGAGTAAGATATAAAAACAACTATATTGATTGCAGCATGGCACAAACACTTAAGCCTATCATGAGTTGACAAAGAAACATGCCTTCATGGCACGTCTTGTAAAAGCTTGCACCTGTGCAGCCTCTCATTCTGTGACCCTTTCACCGTGTATCTCAGAATACTATTTATCCAATAATCCAATAAGGCGTTTCTCAGTATAGCACATGTTCTCACACACTAAATGAACATCAGTTGTTGAAGCAGTCGAATGGCGTTGTGAAACCTTCCATCTTCTTTTTAAATTCAAGGTTACGTTCAATCAGCTATACTACAGTATTTCTCTAAATCCACATGGGTTACTATTGTGCCACCACAACAGATCCGACCTTATTTATTTCACTTGTTAGTATCGTGGCTGCTAGTTGTATGTGAATGTGTGAGACAAGAACAAGTGCTTCTTTCACTGCTGGTCACAGCAAACTTTAAATTACAGATAAAGCGATATAGGAAAGAAGCTTGTGTTAATTAAATCAAAATGCAGAGAAAGTTTAAATAGTCTGCAGCTATCCAGCTGTCCATTTTAAGTCAACGTTGTTGCCTGTGTGCTATCAGTTTATGTATTTTTAGTGTAGTGCTTGGCATGCCATGCTGGCCAGGTCAAAGTTTATGGGCTTCATCGAGTGAAATCATGTTAAAGCTTAGTGTAGTAGGTGGACAAATGACAGAATAAGCCCAACAGTCAGCCTAATGATGTCATGGTCGTGCGACCCAGTGTTTTGAGTTTTAGTCTATTTTGATGTTTATTGTTTGTTTAGGTTCATTAAGTTATTTTAGCTCATTTGTTATTGTATTACCCTTGTGTTAAATCTCCCTTGCCCTTCATGTGTTTATGTCTGTGTGTCTTATGTTGTCAAGTTCATGTTGTCGTTTGTGTCATCTTCCCCTGTACTCGGTCTCCCTGGTTCGTGCGCCTACCCGTTATGTGTCATGTCTGTGTGGCTCTTGTTGTCTAGTTCGTTTCATGTCTATGTCTCCGTGTTTCCTGTTTTATTTTGAAAGAGTCTGTTCTTTGTTCACTGCATTTTGTTTACTCTCCCCTGTGTTGTCATTATGTTTCATTCTAGTCAGCTGTGTCCCCATGTGTCTCCACTTCCCCTGATCACCTCATGTGTGTATTTAGTCCTCAGCCTTGCTGTGTTCAGTGTCGCGTCGTCTGTGTTCTCACCCACCATGTTTGTATTCATAGTTTTCTGTGGCATCATAGTACCAGTTTCCCAGTTTAGTTTCGTCACTATGCTTCTGCCTTGTTTGACCCCCATGTCATCAGCCAAAATAAAGGCTCGCTTTTCGTTTGAACTCAGTTTCGTGTCTTCGCCTGTGTCTGCACCTGAGTCCTCCACACACTCTCCACTCGGTCTGCCACTGCGGATCGTGACAAATGAACTCCTGATGGTGGTATTCAAGCCTTTTTATGTTTTATTTTCTCTTAAAATCAGCACAACCTATTTCAGCATCACTCTTTCTATGACTTGTGCTTCTCAGTTATAGGTCCATAATTTGTTGGACAAAGAAACAATTTTTCTCATTTTATCACAGTGGATTTTAAATCAAAAAATCAATTGAAGTGCACTTCCAGCTTTAATTCAAGGTTTTTTTCTGTGGAGATATTCTTATCCATGGTCTCCCATTTTCAGGGGCTCAACATTAATCGGACATACAAACATAATTTCAAAATGTGAGGATTATTTTGAATACTTGGATCAAAGTCCTTTGTAGTCAATGACTGTCTGAAGTGTAGAACTCATGGACATCACCAAATACTGTGTTTACTCCCTTGAAATTTTCTGCTAAGTCTTTACTGCAGCCACTTTCACTTCTCTCTCTCTGCCTTCAGTTTTGTCTTCAGTAACAAAAAAACATTTTATGTCTTTGCCTTGACTAACCCTTGGGTTGCATTTGGCTGAACCCTAGAAGATTATAATGTTGTACATTTCAGAAAATGTCCTTCTACATCGATCAGCAGTCACATCAATGCTATTGAGTCTTACATGTCCATCCCGTAACATTGTCTCCACCGTGTTAGACAGGTAATGAGGTATACTGAAGTTGCTCTTTTCCTTTTCCGTAATTTTTCCTTCCTTCACATTATTCTGGCACAAGTTAATTTTCATTTCATCTGTACAATGTTGTATTTTGTTGGGAAACCGGTGGTTTGCACCTTGCTCTGGATTTCCATTAATTAAGGTTTCTCTTGATTGCAGACATTGCAAATGAATTCCTACCTCCTCTCAAGTGTTCTTCACTTGGTTAGACTTGGTTAGATCTCATGAAGTTGCTTTTCTTAACCATGGAAATAAGTCTGTTGTAAATAATAACTTTGTTGTCTTCTGTAGTCTTTGAGGCCTTTTGGTGTTTATAAGCTAGTCAGTGCATTCCTTCTTTTCAAGAATGTACTAAATTTTTCTGTTGGACACTAAAGTTTTTTGCTAAACTTCTGATTTATTTTATTTTATTTTATTTTCCAACCTAGTAACTCCCCTACTTGCACTCACATCTGTTAGGCTTTCATATTTAAAATTACATTGCAAAGCAATAAAATACAAATTCAACATTTTGAGTCAACTTTAGATATGCCTAATTAATTTGTCATGTCTCACCTGACCATGAAACCGCTTTTCAGTTGACCATCCAATTAATTCTGAGCTTCCAAAAATGGGGAACTCTGTATATTGTATGTGCATATGTGTAATTCCTGAAGTGTTAATGGAAAAGTTTTATGAAACCCTTTGAATTGAACCTAAAGTCTGCACTACAATCACAAATTGATTGTTTGATTAAAAATACACTGTGGCAGTGTACAGAGGCAGAACTACAATTTTTGGTTTGTTATATTGGTTCATTCCCAACATCTTGAATGCAATTTTAAAAATAGTATTTATACAGGTGGACATATTGTAGTATTACACTAATAACCCGCAAGTGTAGCTTATTAGAGGAATGTGCAAGAGGAACATATACTCATTATTTTCAAATATTTTGTCTTTTTTGTTCTTCTACTGTAGATTTTATTCAGATATGTAAAAAGAAGATTGAAAAGCAAAGTTGCATTTTTTTCTTTTCTTTTCTTCGTAAATACACGAGCCATGGACCCTGAATAGGATAAGTAGTTACTCACAAATGGAAGCCCATTAAAAAAATATACCCAAGGTCTTGTTAGACTTAGAAAGTAGCACTTACAGTTTTACATCTGACAGTAGTGTAGGTTGTTAAATCAGCCAATAGTCTGAATTAATTTAGGCCCATTCCACATAATAAAGTGCTGTGAGTATAACCTTTTATCTTTTCCAGTGCTACCATATGATAGAGTGGTAATACAGTTTCATTTAGATTCAGCTTTGAAGTATTATAATGGAAAACTTTGATTATGTGTAACTAAAGGCAAAGATTTCAAAAGGTCATTGATTCTAGAAGATTCTATATCAGGTAGGGAATTGGAAATGTGATCGCCGATATACACTGTGCTGCAAGTTTGATAGTGTGGCAAAAGAAAGTAACAAATCCATTTAAGCACTGCCTTTCTCACATGTTATGGATAGAGTGCTTACATGCAAAACACATTAAGCTATTAACCTTTGCAAATGTATTAGTTTGTAAGTCTGAGACTCATTGTGTGAGCCTCAGTGGATTTTATATATTAGTATCGGTTGCACCAGACTAGTTTCAGGTGCACATGGGATTTCAGGTTCATACAAGACAAGGCAGCTCTGACAGCTGTGAATAGATAGTGGTAAACCTAAAAGGAGTACTTAATTGCTGTCTCGAGGAAGAATTAAGGAATCTGTAAACTCTAGAGCCAGAATAAGGAAGGGACTTGACATCTCTGGAAGTCTTCTGGGAGACTCTCGCGAATATGGATGTAGGCCAAAAGCAGTGTTTGCGGTTTCTCTAATGGTGTGAAGCAGAGACAGAACATTTCTAAAAGATGGACAAAGGAGACTGATGAAGGGGTTAGAAGAAGGGATCTGACTTCCATCACAGAACTGGGGAAAAGAATCTTGACATCCCAAGATGAGAGCAGTAGAAAGTGTGGGCATTGTTAGTATGGAGTTGGGGTTTGGTGGAGAGGAGTATTGTTCCTTTTTGAACGATGCTAAAATCACTTCTGACATTGTGTGGACAGCTCTATAGTAGGTTTATAGATTATACCTTTAGAAGAGAATGATACAGGTCATTCTTATCCTTCTCCAAAATGGACTTCTTCTTAACTTCTCAAACTTTGCCTTATATACCAATTTCCTTGCTTCTATTTTAATATCATAAGTTCCTAGCAAGTATGCATGATCTCTGAATCCGTTTTTATTTAATTTTATAATATGGATCTAAGCATCCAATGTTGGAGGAAAAGAAAAGATAATGATGGTGGATTTACTTGACGAATAAATGGCTGCTGCAAACTCTAAAATAATATAACAAACCATCAGCTGTATTTTTTATTCATTTTGCTTTCCTTTTTGTCTGTAAAAAAGAAAGAAAACCCAGATTTCACATCAATTAGTGTGTATCTTTATTTTTATTATTCTTTATTTTTGAAAATATTCAATAATCTTCATATTTACCAGCTGTCTGCTTCTTTAATGTTTGCTTTTACATCAAAGATCAGGTTGAAGCCTGTTTTGAGACCATGCTCATTTATGCTGTTTAACATTCAGATATCAGTTTCATTGTGTGAGTAGCGATGCAAAGAAAAAATGCAAAGAGCTAAACCAAAGAGAAGAAAACATGGAATCGGTCTGTACAAATGAGGCAGTGATCTGTGCTGACAGTTCATTATGGCTGGTAAATGCAGCCATGTGGGGGCGGCAGGAGGAGAGACGGGAGCCCTAATTGGAGCGGATGGGAGGGATTCTCATATCATAACAATATCACAACTATTTACATGCTTACACCTCTGGCAACTCAGAGACTTAGAGAGTGTGCTATTAGGGAGGAGATCGTTTTTGCCATGTGAGTTTAGGAACACTTCATGTGTTAGTATGTGCCTGTTTTTATAATCACAGAATATAAAATCATAAAATACGAAAGTTTAGGCTAAAGAATAAAAAAGAATAGTATTTTTTTTCTCTACCAATCAAAAGCATACGTTTACTGCATTTGTTGTTCCAGGGCTGAAAAAGTATGATTTTTTTTGTGTGTTCAAGAAACTAAATCTGCTTTGACCACAATCATTCTTAAGTCATAATGGCTACAATGAAGTGCTTTTAGACCGTAGGAAGTTCTTATAATTGTGGAAGGAAGAACCGCCTTTCTTCGTGCTTGCACTGCAGGATCTAAGAAACATCAAAGGCCTTAGAAGTCAGTTCTCAGGGCTTTTTCTGAGCTCCTAGCTCCCGGTACGTATTCTCCTGGCACACCAGGGACCTTTGATTGACACAGCATCAGACTGACACCAGCTCTTGCTATGATAAAAAAAAGAAGAAAAAAAACAAACATTGGTAAAACGTTGGACTGACAGTGAAGCCAAGGCTTTAATAAGGCTATATGTTGTGGAAGAAATACATCCCAACTGTGACACATACCAAATGCCAGACGGCTGTTACATAATTTCAAATGTTTCTACTGGTGATGTGAATACAAACAGAAAAATAACCCTTGAAGTTATGTAGTTCTTGGGGCGCTACCCTTAGGGCACAGTTCTCAAAGTTTTGATGACTTAGTGCCAATTTAGGAAGCAAACGTATACTTGAGGGCTTCACAGGGAAGATAAACCATTCAAACTTTTTTTTCTTTTGGTGTTTATAATGTGTCTGTTCATAGGATGGTGTTTTATGTTTGTAACTGTTTGGTTTTTGCTCTCGTTTATAATTTCCTAGGCATTGGCAAAGTCAGTTTTTCTATTCCTTTAGTAGGGAGTCAATTATATTTATTTATTCCAAAGTCAGGAATGTTTAGTGTGAGCTGTGGCTACAGTTGAAATCAACGATAAAATCTCCCTTAGTTTTATACTACTGTTTTTTTCTAATACAAAAACATGGACAAACAATGTCTTCCTGGTGACCAGGTTGTCACAAAATACTTTTATTCTGTGTCATTTGGGAGAGCAGTTTAAAACCATGCATTTTCAATATGTTGTGATTGCACATATATTGTACCGACTTAAATTTGATAACAGTTGGCGTACTCTGTAAATATGTATTCTGAGAAGGAACTACCTTTGCCAAAACTCCATTTAAATTCCAGGATTTAGCAGAAGGACTGTGGGAAAAGACATCTGATCCTTTACGTTGACACCACTATAAACAACAAAATCCTAATGGACTACCATTAGTAACAAAGCAATAAGGGGGGTTTTTTTTGTTTGTTTTTTTATGTGTTCCAGGTGCTGTCCCCTCTGACATCATCAGTCCTGGCTGAGAGGAGCATCAGAGTGGTGGATGATAAAGTGAGCGTGACAGAGCTAGGGGTGCAGTTGGTATCTGGATTAACTCTGTCCCTGCAGCTCAGCCCAGGCAGCAACAGGGCTATTGTTGCCACTGCAACAACACAGGAAGTTATTGAATCTCTCAAGCAGGTATGACTTCTATAATAATATATAATATAGGTAATATAGACATATAAATATTTTACATGGCAATTTGACTAATAACTGCTTATCCAACAGTAAGACTAGAGTGGACTTGTTGATGCAAAATTAGCATTTTTCTGTGAGTCTGATTTGGCTTCATATTTGGCTTTATGCTCGGCCCAGTCATAATAGCTTGCAAGTTTAGAAATGGATTAGGTTTATTACGAAGTCTATGGTATTCATTGTGGTTTAGAATTAATTCACTTTTCATATACAAAGCTTTCTCTTTGATTTGCATCTCTAACCATGGAACAGCTCTGTTATTCCTATAATTATAATTTCAAATGAAGGTAGGCTGCAGTCTCTTTCCCTAGAGAGGATATTTAGCTTTCAGGAGAATAGTTTTGTATCCATTCTATCCAATTGTTTCAATGAACCTTTGTGTTATAATTAACACTGACTTTTCTGTCCTCCATGTTCCTCTACTTTATTTTTTAGTGTCTGTTTTTAGTTTATGGTCCTTATGTATTAATAAGAATTGTGAAGAATATTATTTTCACTGTGTAACGTTAGGGTTTTTTCTTTGGTTGTTTGTTTTTTTGTTTTGATTTCTTAGGAGTCCCTCATCAGTGCTTGGCTTCATTTCAGTGATGGATCCATGACTCCTCTAGATAACTACAACCCTGCCCATTTTACCCTGGCAGCCACCTCATTGGATGAACAGGTTGTGGTGGTGCAGCAAAGTCCAGCATGGAAGTGGCCTATCATTGTTGCCAAAGGAGAAGGTCAAGGTTTGCTTGTACGTGTTGAAATGAGCCCATCAGAAATGTGCCAGAAGGGAAAACGACATACTGTTTTAGCCACAGGAATGGCGAGCACACATGTAAGACTTGGTCAAACAGAGGAACAATTCAGACAACCAGGTGGCCGACGTACACGCCCTGACCCTCCATATTATGGCGGATCTATCTCTGACATGGAAACTGGGTTAAATAACCGTGGAGCCACTACCATCAGGGGCCATGTTCCAGTAAGGCCAAGTGGGGGCCGTCTTTCAGCAGAAGTTGGAGCAAGGGCTCCAAATGAATTCTCTGAATATCCCGATCAGGCCGAGCTGCCCCGGAGCCGCAGCACCGATGAGGACTTGTTGACCTCCCGACGAGGCCTGACGGACTTGGAGATCGGTATGTATGCCCTGCTGGGAGTTTTCTGTCTGGCCATCTTGGTTTTTCTCATTAACTGCATCTCTTATGCATACAAGTACCGTAGCAAGCAGTTCTCCTTGGAGGCTCCAGAGGCAATGCCTCATGCACATGACTGGGTTTGGCTTGGCCAAGAGGAGGGGCTATGTCTCCAACAACAGCAGCAGGACGAACTGGGCGGTACCCTAGAAGAAGGTAGTCAGCTATTAAATGGAGGCCTCCAGCGAGGTAATACTGGTGGAGCAGGATGTAGCTCAAGTGGGAGGGATCACAGGAATGAGTCACTTAACTCACCCACCACCAAGAGAAAGAGGGTGAAGTTCACCACTTTTTCAAGTGTCAAGTCCAGTAATGGGTGTCCTGTCCTCAGCCCCTTAGCACTTGTGCAGACCAGTGAGATAAAATGGGTATGTCCAGACATCGAGCTCGGAGATTCAAAGGATCTTAGGAACTACATGGAAAAGCTTAATGAGAACGCAATTAAGAACATTGCATAGGGGGTACTAGGTGTTTTCATTGAACTAAAGAGAAACTCACCTGAATGCCTTCAGACTAACAAGGGAAGGAGGATTACGAAGGAGAGGTGAAGAAGAGACTGAAGCCGCTGTTAAACTGTACACCTTACCATAGCAAGAGGATAGTGCATTCAGCCTCTGTTTTTTCATGAAAGTACTCAGAAAAGGTCAAGCTATGGACTACAAAAAGATACCACAACACCACAGCATCAAGAGGAAAATGTGAAATTAGTATTGTTGCTTAAATTAAATGTATGTTCTTTGTTTCTAGTTTTCTTTCCTACGCACCATCTACGCCGCTTTGTTTTGTGTTTTGTTTTTTCAAATCGCCATGTTTTAATATCACGTTTGTTGTAATTTTTGCGACTTTCTGTTATTTTTCTAGAGGCTTCTTTCCCTGTCAGAAATTATTGAATCTAGGAGAGTAAGGTTAAAAGAAATTTTGTATTGTAAATAAAAGCAGAGTTTAATTTGGAGGAACTGTATGTATAGCAACATTTTTTAAAGTGATGTATGGTTTTGTTTTGCTTTAGTTTCTTTTCAGTTAGTTTTGTCTCCAGAAAGCAGATCCACGCATGATGTTATTTAAAAGGAGGCATGTGAGTCTGATCTGGTATGCAAACTGAAAATTTGTAGATAACTAATACCAGTACCCCTGGAGACATGTCATTCACTGTGGGTCAGTTTAGCTTTGGATTCAACATGTTGATGTTGGTTTAAGAGATTTATTGGGCCCTACATTTTCCCTCCTTATATTGGTTTATGTAACCTCCTGTTGCATAGTTCACATAAAACTAACTTTTTAGGATTCAAAAGGACAAATTTTGATTAAATCAGAATAGTCAATATAAATATACTGACACAACCAAAAGTATCAAAGACAATCACATTTAAAAAAAAAAATTAAAAAATTCTTCATTATAATTTTCCCATAAAACTTGTCCAGGTTTCAAGACGTCAGAAAACACATTTACAGTGATTTTTCAAATTGCTGTATGACATTTTGAATCCTTGTAAACTGTAGAAGAAAGCCCAAATCTGGCCTGTTCGCTTTTTGTCATAAGCAGTATTAGTCAGTTCCAACATTTTCTACTGTATGTCTGTTTTAAAATTGGCTGGTGGACTAATTAAACCTGAAGTTGACTCTTCCTTTTTCTTGTGGCTGTGTGATTTATTGGCCTAGCCATTGTTTTCCAATCTCAGTCCATCAAATACTGCTCTCACGAATAACCACAGAGACAGTGGCTTCATCAGATATCAAAACGATGATTGGTGCAGCTTTTGGAGTTCTTCACATTTCTCTTCAAAAGGCAAAAGTGAAAGATGTTTTTTGTTTGTTTGTTTTTTATTTGTTTCACAAGTGAATACTGTTAAGATAATATTATATATTGGCTTTACGCCGCACCATGATTTGAAATAGACAAACAGAAAAAATACAAACACAAGAATATTTTTACCATCATAATGTCAGCCACGAGTTTTGATTCCATAATGTCTGTTTGTTTGCTTTGGAAGCATGGTCTTTGGAAGTAACCAAAGTTGGATGAGTTAGATGAGAGGAGAGGGTAGAGTGTGCCAAGTTAACAGCCAAAATTTGCAGAATTGGTCAGCCCTTTAAGCCCCAGGTGGGTTTTTTAATTTAAATTTTCATATTGAAAATTTAAAGAAAAAATCAGTGAGGAACAGTGTGAGGAAAACTGTGAGACCAGATGGCTCAAACGCAGCACCTTATCATTATTACCAGTCAAGACCAGGGTTTTAAAAGCAATTTTTCTTTTCCCCAAGCAAAACTTGCAAATTTGAGACTAAATGCAGGCCCTATGCTATTGAGCCAATGATACCCATGTTGTTGTACCTGTTTAAAAAATGTTCACCTCCAGTCAAAGTGTCAGACTTTGCGACCTTCATATCACTGTGCTCGATCAGTTTTTACCACAGAGAAACGATTAGCAAGCTGCATCCACAGACACTATGGGTTCATCACACAAATACTTCCTAATTAAATGGTAAAATGGTAAATGGACTGGTTCTTATATAGCGCTTTTCTACTCTGTCCGAGCACTATACACTATACAGCTAATTCATTCACCCAATCACACCCATTCACACAAGCACTTCTAAGCTTAAGTGCTAAGAGTATCTAACATTCATACACATTCACACTCCGATGGATGCATCGGAGAGCAACATGGGGTTAGTATCTTGCCCAAGGATATTTGGCATGCAGACTGGAGCAGCCTGGGTTGAACCACCAACCTTCTGGTTAGCGGCTGATCCGCTCTGCCACCTGAGCTACAGCCACCCCAATTAATTAGTGCCTAGCAACCTACAAATAAAATAATTGAACTTCACTCATCAAACATGGAGTTCAGACTTCTTTGGATGGCATGCTAGTAGAATTACCCACACAGCAAGCTCTGTTATTTGTCATATCAAAAAGCTCCGAAGGGCACCAACACCACAAATACAGTTAGAAGGTCCACTCCTGTGATTCCAATTAGAAGATATGGAGCCTGGCAGACAGCTGCTGGCTACAGCTGCTTGTGTTGGCATCCACCTGTCAGTCAAACATTTAAGCCTAAATAAAGTTCGCTCCATCCATCCATTTTCTTAAGCTCTTATATAGCTTAGGGCCACAGATGGGGCTGGAGCCCATCACAGCTTTCATGGGGCAAAATGCAGGGTATACCCTTGACAGGTCACCAGTCCATCACAGGACCAACACAGAGACAAAAATAACCACACGCTCTCACATCCACGCCTATGGAAAATTTAGACTCATTAATTAACCAACTCCATATGTCTTACGACTGTGAGAGGAAGCCAGAATACCAAAGGAAAACCTATACAGCCAAGGAAAACCCATACAGCCAGGGAGAACACACAGAAAGATCAAAACCATCCAGGAGGGTTGAACCGTGATCCGGGCAAAGCAGCAGCACAGTGGGCTATTACCTTTAAAGACCAAAACCATTCTTTGTACCAGCAGTACACACTCCTTCCTCTGCTATGATGCTGGGCATTTGAGTATGATTGTCTTTGGGGATTTATTTGGTTTTGGAGCCAGCCTAAACTGACCATTCTTTACATGCAATAATACCCGTGGGCATAATTTGTGTATAACAATTTCCTGATAAAAAAGGTTATAGGCTAAGTGCATATGAGCCCCGAAACACTTGTAGCATACTCAGAAAATTGGTCTTTTTCCACAGGATCACAGACATGCTCCCTTTCTAAAAGGGCAACCTAATTAGGGATTACTTAGTTCAGTCTTATTACATGTTAATGTGGCATTTCCTATGCAATTTGTCTTGCCCACTTACTGTACCTACTCTGATATAATTTGCACCCTAATTAAAATAAACCCAGAGGACCTGTGCATATCAGGAAAGGATGTAAACATTTTCATTTATAGACCTCATGAATGATGCGCTTTTAGATTAATTCAATACATTGTAGCAGATGTACAAAATCGGGGGTATCATGTGCTTATTTTGCTTTTTTATATTTACCACTTTCTGGTTCTTTTACCTATCTGTAGGTAAAACAGAGTAACAATTCAGTCAGTCAGAACAAAATCTGTCTACCACATCAGAGGATACTGTTATCACATTGGTCCACAAACAGCCTGCACTGCCACACATCTACCTGAACTTCCACTTCCGTATTCACTTTAGTCTGAGACTTATACTTCTGCCTTTGTCCTTTGTATGCTGAAGTGCCAGGTACTCTTCTTGCTGACACAGGAATCTCAGGGTCTCTACTCTAGCTAACTAAATAACTAGGAGCACCTGTCAGGTATAATGGAACAGAACCTTTTCACTATCACGAACCATCTCCACTGACATTCATTTTGCAGATACATCACTTGTTATCCCATTCCATTTTCCCCACCGTTGCTATGCCAACAATCCTCAACATAATCCTCTCTTCTTCCCTCTTCTTCTCCTTACCATTTTGTTTCTTTGACATGTAGGCTGGCTAGCTGGTATAAGCAGTTGCACAGCTGAAAACTGCTCCAATACAGTCTGTAATATGAAGTAAGGTCTAGTCTATGTTTGTCCATGCATGGCCTTGATTCCTATCCTAAATATATAAAATATTCCTGCTGACCAATCGTTTTGACTGCAAAAGGATTGACTATAACAAAGCAAGTCTATGATAAGAGTCAACAGAAGCCGCAATGCTAAAATTGTCATGTTGAGTGGGTGTAATGTAGCCCATTACAGCTGAGGATGATGGGATTTGTATGATTAGGTTTAGGTATTTTGTAATAAAGTAAGTTTAAACTGATGGTAAAAAGTCAGGGGATCAGCAAATAAATAAACACTTTATTCTGAAAGGGGTCTGATAACTGTGTGCATCCATTTTCATGATAATCTGTCCACCAGTTGTTTTATTTGAAACCCAAGATACCAAGTTCAGTGTGGCGTAAATTCAGGGTCTAACCATAAATGCCTACACTGAGATTTGCTGTAATCCATTGTCAAAGAGCAGCTGGTAACCCACTGGAAACATGAGTCTTTGCACACATATGAGTGCTGTCTGGCTTTTTGGACGTGTGACAATCATTGTGACAAGGTGGTGCAAGCGAGTAAGGGCATAAGTCACACAGGATTGGTCTGCAACCAACAGTTGCGAGGAAAAAACTTTTCCCCAACTGGTTGATGAGTGGTTGCTCGAGGTTCATGGTAGCTGCTGGGAAATCAGTTGCTAAAGCCTGAGTTACACAAGCCTAAAGACTGGTCAGATACATCACCAGACAACCACTGACTGCACAGTCAAATCCATTGTTTGCATGGTAGACAGCAAGTCATTACTCACAAACTATTAGCCAAAAAGTAGTAAGACTTGAAAGTGTTTTTCAAACTGGGAACAGAGAATGCTGCCTTCTAAGTTAAAAGGTGCATATTTAAAAACATGTTGGCTACAGAAAGAGGCCAACAAGTTTCTGGAAACCAAAGTTGATTTTTGGTGCAGCACCCTCTTCGTGACCAATTTCACCTACTGACAGCCAGAAACCTACAGGCACTACTCACCAACCATTAGGGAATATACATTTCCCCTCACAACAGATGGTGGTATCTCATCCAATATAGGGGACATCTCTCCAGCAATGCGCACATGATGTCATGGGACAAACTTCTATAAGTCAGGTAAGTGATACTCATAGTGAGTAGGTTTCATTCTAGACCATTATTGACATGCCTAAAGTCATTTAGGGTTAGGTAATTAAAATTTAAAGGTGGTGATCTAGTCAGCAGACTAAAAAAAATGTAACAATGGCATGCAATTTTACCAGACATACAATTTATATAAAAAGATATTCAAAAATACCCTCCTGTAATGTATTTATTTATTTGACTGCATGTTTGAACACCTAAGTAAGCCTGTTGTTACTCTTTTCATTAATTTAAGCCAAAATTCTGCATCTATCTTTAAGAAACTTCTGAAGTACTGTAGTTTGTGTGTACG